TTACTACTGTACTTTACCTTCAACCAGGGCTGCAGTTATTATCTCATAGACATTATTGCTGAGACTAACAGAACAGAGAATATAGACATCTATTTAACTAGAGAAATATCTGTTAATATTTAGTGAAAAATCAGTATGTGGCTCTGGTAGAGGGTACTAGTACAGTACATACACTGGACCATTTTACATATAGATCTTCGTTTTCAAGGATGGTAGTCCCAAATCAAGCAATACACGTACATGAATTACGTAGGTGTATTATGTGCGACTAATGTTCAAATCTCTGAATAGACGCCGTTGTTGTTATTAGGCTTAACTTGTTATTGGCTTAAATTAAAACTTGAGTCCCAAATTTTTATTTGTAAACATTTTATCAGAATTATCACCATTTTATAGTATTTATTCTAAGTACACTTGGTACGTAATGTCATATACCCTGTTATTATTGTAGCTAGCGTCCTGGTAGTTAGCAGACAGATGGTGCCATCCAGGCTTTTGGTATTCACCGACGGCATACCAACAGATGAGAATGACTATGGGAGCACTGTTGACTTAACCAGGGCGTCCACAGCGGTATGTGACTTGTGATATTTGCTAGCGTTCTCTTATGCTATGTTTGGGATGTTAGTCTCCGGTCTGGAGCAACTTTGGTGTCATATGATAATAAAGATATGAATTTTCATGGTCACTTTTCAATTGACAGTTTTGTCATTATCTGTAGTTGACAGTTTAAAACTATTAGTTTCGTTGTGAAGCTCTACTAGTAAAAGCAGTCGGTGGGCTAAAAATTTTAGGATTATGTATACCAATATAACATTAATCAGATTCGTGGATTTAGCATATTAACACTGGAAAATTGAAAAAAAAAATTCAATCAATGCTGAAAAGATGATATGGACACACTGGGTTAGAATAACGGATATTCCATGAATTGTTTAGCATCTGTTTATAACAATGTCATTATTAGTTATTCAGTGGTCATTTGCCCACCAGCTTTTAAACAGTTTTAAAGGAGGCAGAGTATTTTCACTGTTGCTATATGGGTATATTAATATTTGTCTTCAGGGTAAATATAAAGTCATGACTGCCGTCCAGCGTCCATTTAATGAACCTGTATCACTCCAAGCCAGGATAAATTTCATTGGATGTGGAAAAGACTGTGACAGGGTAGGCATAAAGGATGTTATAAGTTGTTTACTGTTTCCTTTAGTTTGGATTTAAACCAAGAATCCACAAAGCTTATTCTTACATTTGTTCAAACAAACTGGCCTATTTGTTTGGGATATGTAATGATCTTAATTGCCTTAGCAGGATAATGCACATGATTATAAAAGGGAAGAAATTGCTAAACTTGCATGTCACTTAAAATAAAAACGCACCATTTTTCTAGCTAACCAATATATCTCCAGGTGTTTCTAGAGAACGCTGCCAAGACAGGAAAGGGGAAATTCTTCAGAGCAGACGACGAACTTGATGTCCGCCGCCTGGGTGGATACTACAGACGACTGGTGGGAGATTATTTATCTTTTTGAGATTTTTTGAGAATTATTAATTGATTTTAACAGATACATGAAAGTTTAGCTGTAACTTTAAGCAAGACAATCAGTGATACAGTGTGAAATAGTTACAAACATCTTAATACAGTTACCGAGTCATTTGTGCTAAAGCTTTTAGTAATTTACTGTTGCATGGAAACATTTTATTTTCAATATACAACACAATTTATATCACTTCGCTTTAAAATGATAAATGAGCATATAGTAAAAATCGATGTATTAACAAATTTTAATGAAAAAGATAACAACCAACTAAGATATAACATCATTGTGAATTTATCTTTCGTCTCTTTGTAGGTTTGGGTTTGCAGATTCATCTGTCCTTTCCGAGGTAAGTGAGCAGAGAAAGGGCGAAATAATCTTTTGTGTCTAATTTTTGTCAATCCTTAATATAAAGATTATGCATTTCTGTTATAATTTATCTGGCCTCTTGCTCACAGAACGTAGTCCACATTATTTTGGTAAAACATACTCTAATTTTCTGATTCGATTTTTTTTATATAGAAAAGGAATTCATCAACCAGTTAGTAAATACCAAAAACACCTTTTCAACATGGATGCGCGCCACCAAGAGCACGGAAATATTTGACACAGATTTGAGTGATTTTGATATGGTAATAGTGGAATAACCAGTTTGATAATAAATCTTGCCATTGCTCCTGACATTGGTTGTGACATGGTAGTGGTTATTATTGAGCATTCTATAATGAGAACAGCCTGTGTAAATAGTCCCTTCTTTCTGGCAGTCCTAGTGTAACTTAATTATAAATGTAAAAACATGAAGTTGTCAGTGCAGTTGCATATAAGATATAAGAGGTAACATACACCGTGAGATTGTGGAAACATTTGTCCATTTTCAGGATGAAATGTATGAAATATTGCAAGAGCTGATTGGCCCCAAAGCACTGACAGATCTGGACGTCGAGGACTTGCAGAGAACAGCACTTATACAGCGTGAACTGCCACTGGGGATTCGTGTGAGACGAGGTCCTGACTGGAAATATGGTGACCAAGATAATAACGGTCCTGGAACTGTGTCTGGGTATGAAAAGGGAGGTAAGTGAAGTCCTTTGAAAATGAAATGATAAGACGCTGATGGTTTAGAGGTTTAGTCCTATGGCGAAAACGAATAACAACCAGCTTGAGGTTCATCCGCTTGCATTTGGCACTCGTTGTACATTTTTTTTTTGGTTGAATACCCGAAGTTACATTTGACCTACATGTACGTTACAATAATAAACATTTTAATCACTTCAAAGTGCATCTCCACCTGTTTTATCTGCAGTTTACATACAATTGCTTTTTATCCAATTTTTCAAGGTTGGGTTAGAGTCCAGTGGGACCACAGCAATGAAGATTTTGTGTATCGGTATGGCCACGATGGACGTCGAGAAGTGCAGGCGGTGGATGAGCCACGCATCCTTAGGGATGATGAATTCATTAAGCCTGGTGTAAAAGTTAGACGAGGTAATTATTACTTGATGTACATTTTTTTGTTTTTTGGCTGCCCTTTTTGCTAGGTTTTTGTATAAAAAAAAAATGAGGAAATAATTGCAGTCCTAGGAAGAGACTTTCATAAGTATAGCTCTTATTTCTTGAAGGTGTCTTGTAGAACATGGATGCAATGAAATGATAATAACTCTGGATTTTAACTGTTGTTGGAAAAAAAAATATTATAATTCGAAAGGCAGAACGCAGCTGGTGGTAAGTATTGGCATTTGCCAGACATGGTAAGTATTGGCATTTAATATGGGAATTTGTTTGTTGTGGTCAATATCTAGTTAAGTGGTGTGAGGAAGCCATTCCCATGCCTAGATCGATCCATCTGGATCGACCTAACTCTAGGGTTCACGCTACATTGCTATCATCTGAAGAGGCTTAAACGTCTGTCACTCCTACCGAATCAGCTAGGGGGTAATTATCTTTCTTGCAAGCTCAGGCCTTGCTCATAGCAGATAGCAATTAAGTGAGACCCCCCGCGGAGATAGATCGATTCAAATATCTGTGGGAATGGTCCCTTAACTCTTCTGAAAATACTGTCACTGCCCTATCATACTTTTAGGTCCACACTGGAACGCGGGCAATAATGACGGAGGCCCTGGAAGTATTGGCACTGTTTACAAAGTAGAAGAAGCTGGAATAGTTTATGTAAGTTAAATTGATAATTAAGTAATTGATGATTATGTAAGTTAAATTGTCCTACTATTATGCATAACTTCTGAAAGTATGAAAACGACAAAATAATTTGTAATCTAGATGCATAATCGACAACTATACCATCATTGCCATAAATGCATGTATACATTCTGTTACTTTCAGTGTTTTTTTTTTTGTGCATTTCATTTGTTGTACAAAAATATGTGCAACAAAAGTTCTGTAACCAAAAAGGCCAGGAAATTGAGAAATATACTTTTTATTGTAAATATCTCTTGAAAATAAATTATTGTGCGTAAAGACGATTTCCCTGTTCTCTTCTTAACTTATTAAAAGAATTACTTTTTAATTTTCTAGGTTCTTTGGCCAACCCGAGTGGCAAGCAACCATCGATATGGTTATGATGGGCGATTTGAAGTTGAGCTGGTGTAAGAATTTTTTCACAAATTAACAAAATGCTTAATATTTTTCTCCTTTTAGTTTCATGGAGGTGATCAGATCTGCTTTTAACCTAATTTTCATCTTATTGTCATTTAACCTTCACCTTTATGATATGGTAATGTACCAGTCCTTAAACTTGTAATGGTATTGTTCCTGTTTAATCTAGAGATAACAGTAACACTGTGTCAGTAGCATAGGCTAATTTCTGGTAAGTACAGCTACGTGTAAAAATCTAGCCAATTCACTTGATGTTCAGAGCAAGCTTTTTGCATTTACGAGTGACTGGCATTATTTCTTTCATCAAGTTGCATCAATTAATAAATTAATTATTCATATAGGGAAGAGTCTAAGTTACATGAAGGTGATGAGGACGGTTCAGGTTTTATTACAGACGGTGAGTTTGCTGTTTGATACTGCATTCAAAGCTTTGGTCTTCAATCATAGTGTTTTCCCTAGAATGAAATACCTTTTAAAATTTGAAACAATCGTTCGGTAATTGTTTTCGTTTTTGACCATTATCTCTGCAAAATTCGAATAAAATTGATCAAATATCACATGTTTATGCTTTCATCTGTGTACATAAACAACAAATTAATGTCCCCCCATTTCACACTGTGTCCTTCAGAGGGAAAGGTTGCCCTGTGGCAGTGGAATTCTAATGGAAACTGGACTGCGTACCCGAAATATGTGAACACGAAACTAGAACGCTCATACCGTACACGTCCATCCACTAGTGTTGAAGTTAACGTTGCTGGGCTTTGGTGAGTATCTTGTTTCTGTCTTACCTCTTAAAACTGCCTTTGAAAATGCAACGTGCTGAAAGGTTTTTGTTTTACAATTTAATGCAGGACAAATATTTTATTTAAATTGGGTAACTATTTTGGAAACTTGACTTTGGATGAACTATTTAAGTTTCAGTGTTACCCAAAGCATACAGCATTCCATTGTTACCCTTATTGATTACAAAAAAATCTCATTTCAGTCAACGCATCAACTTTGAGAGTATGACAGCGCTATGTACAGACATTAATGAAACCTATGAAATACAGAGAACTGGTCAGTTCTATTATTATTATTATTATTATTATTAATTTCATTATAAACTTATAAAACTGAATGTGTCATATCTTGGCATGAAATATCCCGCTAAATAGGGCTTTGTTTAGATGAAATAATTTTTGTGTTGTTTTGTTTTTTTTTTTGTCTTTTTTTACACCAGAACTCTCATAGCTGATCGAAACTTTATCTAAAATTCCCATTGGTTATTTTAGCTCTTAATTCAATCATTTCACTATTCTTTAATTGCCAAAGTGCGTTTTTAAATTTACTTTGATGACTTCTGCTCACGTGCATCGTTACCTTAAAATGAAATAAAAATGTATTCATTAAAAAGACAAATGAGTTTAGGCCCTTTAGAATTCTGGATAGAGTCATACTTTTGTTTTTCATGGAAGCAAAGACTTTTTACATTTTTAATTGAATAACATTCTGACATCATTCCGTTTTATTTACAGAACTGTCACTTGAAGATTTTGAAGCTGTACGCATTGGACTAGAAGGATACTGAGACAACATAAGGAAAAAAAGGACTCCAAAAAGAAAAGTTTCATAACAGGTCACGCATTATATTCACATTGTTTGTTTCATGACATTTTTAAGGCATGATTGGAAATCATTTGGTGAACCAAGCGTGGAGGTCCACCTTTCAGTGCAATATCACTCATGTGAGAGAAGCTGTGGTCCAGAAGTGTTATCCTTTTACCTGCCTTTCCCATCTTTGGTTAGGGAAAGGACATCGATTCATGATACTGCAAATCTGTATAATATTTGACTGTTGAAAATCCAGTTTATTTTAAAAAAGCTCTATTTATGGTCAAATACTTACCTACTTAAATTATTTTTCATTAGGTGAAAAATAACTTGGATAATCTCAGATTTATGTTTGGAATGTATTTAAAGAAATTGATTATCCATTTTGCTTTTATAATAAAAATAAGTTATATGATAATTCCAACCGTTAGAATTGTGCCAATGAATTGTGCCAATGAATTATAATAGCTTTATTGTATTCTGTTGTTTATTTGCATTAATAATGATAAAGAGTCACAGTGTAATCAATGCAAGCAAAGACCAGGAATGGATTATTTAGAGTATGTTTTCCATATCATATTTCAGTTCCAAACATTGATTTGAAATTGAAAAAAAAATGTAGTTGAAATTATTAAATTAATTTTTAAAAATGACTGGAATTACAAGATTCAAGTTATAACTCTGCATCCAATTACAATATGGATATTGTAACAGTTTCATTCCACAGCAGTTTAAATTATTAGATTAATCAAGAATATTAGATAGTTCATTGTATGCAATTAATACACCACTGCTGTACAATAAAATGAATGTTAACTAAATCTAAACCTGCATATTGATTTGACCCCGTTAATAGTAAGAGCATTCCTTCTGCTTTGAAAGCATATTTAAATATGTTTACATAAAATTATATGTTACAATGGCAATTTTGAAGAGAACAACTTTATCCTCATTACTTGCTGAGAGCCTAAGATACACCAACAGTGCATGATTGGTTCACCAAAAAAAGCTTCACCGAATCAAGTGTTCTTAATCCCTTCCCCTTTTTTATTTCTTTGACTGTAATAAACCCCCATCTGGCGTCAACCTATAGGCTTAACCTTAACCTCAATGTCTTTGTGAGAGCTGAAGCTTTCAAAAGTGCTGTAACCTTCCCATGACAACCAAATTCCTGCGCCTTTCAGTCAAAGGAAATGTATAGATGTATTGAGTGAACACAAAATCAACACACGGTAAGCTTGTCGATGAAAACGAGGGGTTTCTTTACTAATGTCAAAAGAAAATAAAATGACGATGAGAACTTAAACAGACGCAGAGTTGTTTCAGCAAATAAAAACAAGATAGACCTTATAGCCCTACTGGATGAAGCCTTTGTATTGCATTTAAAGTCAAACATTTAAATAATAACGAATAAGTTTTCTCCGAATTTGGGAAATAAAATGAATGAAACATTAATACGTTTCCTTAAGGTTCACGCAACGTCTTATAAGTTTTTAAACCATATTTTCTCGTTAGTTAGCCACATAACAGACCATTGTGAACCCGGTTTTTGACCTTGGCTGTACGAAACTTTTGCGAGGACAGCGGCATCCTTCATAGTCTTTTGTCCGTGAAAATTTGTGTGCATGGCATAAATGCCACGGAAGTACCCAACTCAACATTTGATTCAATATGGAAGTGAGTATGACACTGTCATTTGTATCTGTGTTAGCCTTGCAGTGCTCTTTGAAGAGTGTCCAAATTATCAAGAAGTCGACAGAAAGAAACAAATCAGTACACCAATTAAGTTAAACAAAATACAGTGTAATTAAGGTAGGGCAAATAATAACTTTTTTGAAAACCTTTCAAGGAACAGGTGATGGGTCAAAATGGGCCAAAAAGTTCATTTCTGATGAAAAATTTGAGCTGGGGGCATTCTTTAAGTTGGTAATTTTACTAATTTTGGAGACATACAAAGCATGTGTACTTCATATTCAGTAACTGTAGTAACTAGGTACTTGTATATACCTGTATTGAACAGCTAGGGTTGGATGAAGCACAAATGTTTGATTAATAAATATTCTCTATGGCAGAAAATGATGCTACACACGTGCAACTACTTAGGTTGGTAAAAGGACGGTTTTCAAAATGGCAGGCAAAACGCCGTAACAAGAGTTTCAACTTCGACAATTAAAGGACCCATAGTTTGTAATATACCTTTTCTTATTTTCCTTATGTTAACTGTGCCATTGGTGCATTCCAAATGGAGTTTAGTTACCTTGGTGGTTGATAGTTTACTGTCAAGCTTGATGGAAGTGCCAGATCTCAGTCAGTCAAAACAAGGAGTGATAAGATATCTCAAGTTCTGCTTCATGTGAATTATGAGGAATAATCAGAATTATCCTAACCTCAACTGTAAATCATTTAAAAGCGGAGTAAAGGGTGGAATATTTTTGTTCTGCACGAAAGAAGCCGGGGCAGCAATCACTATCATGAACTGAGATCAACAAAGAAGTTGCCAAGGAATTATCCAATGTCTGGATGTCCAAGAATATCTTCTTCTGTCCGAGAACATTTCCAACAGAATAACTGCATACTAGCTGGGTCTACATATAAAAAGCGTTGTGCTTATATAGCTTCACACTCCACAAAGAACCCTCGAGGGTCAGTGTCTATATACGATGAATCTTATATCATAAATACTCTTTGTCAAGTTTTGATTGAACTCTTTCATTTTCATATATCATCACTTTGAATCCTTGCATTTCACAGACAGTTAATGCTTCACAACTTCCCCAAATGTGTTTCAATTCCAACATACTTGTTAGGAATGATCTTCTCAAAGATAGAAAAAAAATACTTTTTATATATAACATACCAGTAGTAGTTAAAGAGCCTCTAAATGTAAAACAATGATTTATTATTAGGTTATTATTTTAATGCGTTTCACTCATATGATTTTCCCCTAGTCGCCTAAGCTATGTGTATACTAAATTAGACATGTCCATCTCTCAACAAAAGGCTTACCTTGTATCTCTTCTTTCCATGGATTTTACGCCACCATACCAATTTTAGATCAAAACGATTTCAATTCTTGGTTCCTCTGTCCAATTTTACAGTGAACGGTAAAACGGCCATATTCCTTATTGATGAATGCATTGTAACATGATCATAATATACATTATTCAGTTATATTACACAACGTGTTTCTTATGTTCTATTTAACTTTTATTACAGTTACAAGTATTTTATTTGGTACAAGATGCCATATGATCTACAGAATGTCCCTTTATCGAATCATTTTGCATGCTGCCTATTAATGAGTGTTTTGCTTTGATAACAATAATATAATAATATATTTATTTCGAGCTTAAAATCCATAAAATGTTCAATAGACTGTACAACATAAAATACAAAGAAGTTAATAGATAAAAATGGTTTAGATTTATATTATATAAATCAAAGCTAGACTAAATTATAATAAACAGTAATTAAAAGTAAAAAACCCAAGGTTTCTTTAATGTTAAATTTAAAATGCATGAATAAAATGTCTTTAAAATGTGAGTTTTCAATTCCTTTTTAAAAGATTCTTGTGATTCTAGTCGTCTAATAAAAATTGGTAACTTATTCCACTCTACTGGTGCAGCTACACAAAATGATATGTCACCATATCTTTTTAACTTTGATTTGGGAACTTTCAGTAAAAGTTTGTCACCAGACCTCGGGGATCTTTGAGGGCTATAATGTTTGACTAGAACAATTGTATATGGTGGAGCTAGGTTATAAAAAGCAGCATATGTAAAAACTAAAACCTTAAAATTCTGGCCCTAACTGGTAAAGCCCCCTTTACACTGGACGGCGTCCTTTCTGCGTCCAGCAGTACGGCCCCATTTGAAAGTTTAAAAAATTATAATACTTTACGTGCCGACAACTGGCCGATCATTGAGCATTCATTGTGATGCAAAATCAATGCTCGTGTCTCCTTATTAGACCACAATTCATGGTCGCAGAAAGGACGCAGAAAGGACGCCGTCCAGTGTAAAGGGGGTATAACCAGTGCAGCTGCTTTAAAATTGGAGTGATATGGCAATCCCTAGGCTTTAGCATTAAAAGCCGTGCTGAGATATTCTGGATGCGTTGTAATCTTTTGATCTTATCATCTAGACATCCATATACAACATTGGTCAAAAAGGTTGTCCCACCCCCATTTCCATGTACTTTTATTTACAAATGATCACCTGACAGCTGTGAACTGTTAGAAATAGTGCTTTTTATAACGGATACCGTGTCTAACATGATTAATGGTTAAAAAAAATACAAAATAGTGGTGAAAATATACTAATTTTATTACATTTAGTAAAATTTATAAGAGGTACCCCCTCAAATCGACTGTTTCACTGTAACTTCTACAGATGTAAAGAAATGTCTATAAAATTGAAAAGACGCCGTCAAGTGTCACCAGATTCACACACTATTAGCATTAGGGTGTGCTTGTTAAAGATCACGTGTCTAACAGCGTGTGCGTCTACCGCGTTCTGCAATTATCTCCTGTAGACGGCGCGACAAGCCTTCAACATGGGTAACAATTCTTGTGTTGTTACGGGCCTTCGTATTTGACCTAGTTTTTCATGTCGAGGCTCCATGCTCGCTCATCAGCAGCCGCTAGTGAACTGTTCAGAGTTTTTTCTAAAGATAGGCCACGCACACCGTGAGTTTTCCACATTTTATATAGTTTTGATAATTGTGGTTGTGTAAAGAACATTTTTAGTATCTGTAAACTGCTTTTATTATGTATTCACGTTAAAACTTGTCAATGCAAGAATGCAGCACGTTTCACGCTAGTTTTGTAAGGTACGGTGGCCTGTAAGTGCCACAATAAGTAATAGAAATGTCATCGTCAGCATTTTGACATAGGTTTTCTTTATTTTATTTCAGTTTTTTACCACATTCCTTTGTTGGAAATAAAGATAGCTGTATCAAACAACAAAGAGGGTTATCTTCTTGTTTTCCGGAAGCAAGACAGTAAAAAAGGTCCGGCCCATTTAGAAGTCAATTCACCTCTAGCTCCATTTCAAGATGTCAACAGGCGCCGAAGAGCCATCAAGCACAGTTCCAGACTTGGGTGCAGAATTAGCTACGTCAGCTAGATCTAGATCTGTTTCATCATCAGGCACCTCATCCACAATCAGAAAGAGAGCGAAAGCAGAAGCGGCACGTGCACGGCTCAAGTTTGCAGAGCAAGAAGTAGAACTGAAGAAACAACAGGCAATTTTGGAGGAACAAAACGTGATCAAAGCTGCAGAAAGAAACAGACAAAAAGCTGAACTAGAAGCAGAGCTTGAGCTGTTAATGGAAAGGAAATCTCACGCTGCAGCAGAGGCCGAAGCGCAGGTACTCGAAGACGAAGAAATACAGTTGTTTCCCCATAGAAGACGACTGGAATCCCCCAGTCTACCCATAGAAAGTGCTGTAGATCGCACAGCAGCCTTCGTAGAGAGACACTCAGCAGCAACTATACACACCCAACAATCAGATACAAGACAAGAACAAAGTGTGTCAGCAGTGACGGCACCTCAGTTTTTAGAAATTGCGCGTAGACCAGAACCCGTTCCATCAGCAGTCACCAGTACTGAAGTTCCACAATTACCAAGAGTCTTACCAGAACAGTTGAATCCGAATGCCTCTGAATTCACACCAGCTACTGAAAATGGCAGAGAAATGACAGGGATAATGAATTATCTACTGAAGAAGGAGTTGCTCCTCACTCGATTAACTACATTTCAAGAAACCCCAGAGACATATGCTTCATGGAAAGAAAGTTTTGTTAGTATGAAGAAAGATTTAGCACTGTCAGCATCAGAAGAGGTAGACTTACTCATCAGATGGCTGGGTCCCACCAGCAGAAAGCATGCAATTAGTATTAAAACAGCAAATCCAAGTCAACCTCAGAAAGCAGTCAAAGAGATTTGGGAAAGATTGGAGGAAAGATACGGTAGCCCAGAGCTAATAGAATCTGTCCTGAGGAAGAAAATAGACATGTTTCCTAAACTGACGTCGAAGGATTCACTGAAACTGTATGAACTTTTAGATCTCCTGTCAGAGATTCAGGCCTTTAAGGAAGNCAAGACAGTAAAAAAGGTCCGGCCCATTTAGAAGTCAATTCACCTCTAGCTCCATTTCAAGATGTCAACAGGCGCCGAAGAGCCATCAAGCACAGTTCCAGACTTGGGTGCAGAATTAGCTACGTCAGCTAGATCTAGATCTGTTTCATCAACAGGCACCTCATCCACAATCAGAAAGAGAGCGAAAGCAGAAGCGGCACGTGCACGGCTCAAGTTTGCAGAGCAAGAAGTAGAACTGAAGAAACAACAGGCAATTTTGGAGGAACAAAACGTGATCAGAGCTGCAGAAAGAAACAGACAAAAAGCTGAATTAGAAGCAGAGCTTGAGCTGTTAATGGAAAGGAAATCTCACGCTGCAGCAGAGGCCGAAGCGCAGGTACTCGAAGACGAAGAAATACAGTTGTTTCCCCATAGAAGACGACCAGAATCCCCCGGTCTACCCATAGAAAGTGCTGTAAATCGCACAGCAGCCTTCGTAGAGAGACACTCGGCAGCAACCATACACACCCAACAATCAGATACAAGACAAGAACAAAGTGTGTCAGCAGTGACGGCACCTCAGTTTTTAGAAATTGCGCGTAGACCAGAACCCGTTCCATCAGCAGTCACCAGTACTGAAGTACCACAATTACCAAGAGTCTTACCAGAACAGTTGAATCCGAATGCCTCTGAATTCACACCAGCTACTGAAAATGGCAGAGAAATGACAGGGATAATGAATTATCTACTGAAGAAGGAGTTGCTCCTCACTCGATTAACTACATTTCAAGAAACCCCAGAGACATATGCTTCATGGAAAGAAAGTTTTGTTAGTATGAAGAAAGATTTAGCACTGTCAGCATCAGAAGAGGTAGACTTACTCATCAGATGGCTGGGTCCCACCAGCAGAAAGCATGCAATTAGTATTAAAACAGCAAATCCAAGTCAACCTCAGAAAGCAGTCAAAGAGATTTGGGAAAGATTGGAGGAAAGATACGGTAGCCCAGAGCTAATAGAATCTGTCCTGAGGAAGAAAATAGACATGTTTCCTAAACTGACGTCAAAGGATACACTGAAACTGTATGAACTTTTAGATCTCCTGTCAGAGATTCAGGCCTTTAAGGAAGATGAATTGTGTGGGTTGACCCTGTCCTATCTTGACTCAGCGGTAGGAATAAACCCAATAGTAGCCAAGTTAACTCAGGACCAACAGAACAAGTGGACATCTCATGCCGTGAAATACAAAGAGAACAACAGAGTCCATTACCCTCCATTCCCTGAATTCGTCAAATTCATTAAGAAGCTGAGCCAAACAAAGAACAATCCTTGTTTTCAGTATGACTTTACACACAATACTTCTATTAAAGACAGACCAAAGGAAAGAAACATGATAACAAGCAGGAAGACTGATGTCGCTCAAAAGGAAGAGTGCCCACTGCATGGCACAAACCATGAACTCAGGGAATGCAGAGTGTTTGGTCAGAAAAGCCCGAATGAGCAGAAGTGTATTATGAGGAAATATGGCTATTGTTTTGGTTGCTGTCGTAAGGGCCACATTCAGTCATCTTGTGGAGAGAAAACATTTCCTTCCCAAACCAATTTCCCAGTAAAAGGTGCCCCGAGTGGTATTCCAGAAAGAAGAAACAATGCTGAGAGAAGAAACAACGTTTCCACAGATGAAGGTGTTGCCCCAAGAGCGAATGGCGGGGAGGTGATTACTAAATGTACTGCATTGTGTGAAGAAGGATTCGTTGGACGGTCATGTGCTAAAAATGTTTTAGTGAGGGTATTTCCCAAAGGCCGACCAGAAGAGGCTGTTGCAGTTTATGCTGTCCATGATGATCAGAGTAACAAGTCCTTAGGAACCCCAGCTCTTTTTGACCAGCTGCAGATCTCAGGAGGGTTGCGTAGTTATTCATTGTCTTCATGCTCAGGGACCACTCACATATCAGCAAGGCATGCTGTGGACCTCATTGTTGAGTCTTATGATGGTACTCAGTCCTTTGTGCTTCCCGAAATAATTGAGTGTGACATTCCTAAGAATCGTTCTGAAATCCCTACTCCGGAAGTGGCTATGCAGTATGATCACCTGAGTTCTTTATCAGAGAAGATTCCACCCTTGAACCCCAAAGCTGAAATCGGTCTGCTCATAGGCAGAGATCTAATTGAAGCACATCATGTTCAAGATCAACTCCTGGGTTCTAAGAATCATCCATTTGGCCAGAAACTACCACTCGGATGGGTAATCATTGGTGAAGTCTGCCTTGGAAAAGTACATCAGCCAAAGAGGATATCCGCCTTCAAGACCAACATCATGAACGACGGGCGCCCTACAAACTTTCTACCTTGTCCCAGTGCAATACTCTTGAAAGAAGAAAATCAGATTGGTTCTGATGTTTTCAAAATTACAGCCCAAGATGATCGCGTTAGTTTGTCAACAGAGGACAGGGAATTTCTTGACATTATGAATGAATCCATGCGAAATGACAAGGATCAGTGGATGGCTCCTCTCCCATTCAAACACCCAAGACAGAGAATGCCGAATAACAGGTCACAAGTCTTTGGCAGGGCAAAATCATTTGACGCAGCATTAAAGAAAGACGAACGTAAACTTCAGCATATGGTCGAATTCATGGAGAACATATTCGATACTCAAGCTGCGGAAGTAGCCCCCGAGCTTCCACCTGGAAAGGAAGTCTGGTACCTTCCTCTTTTTGCCATATACCATCCTAGAAAACCTGATAAAGTGAGAGGAGTGTTTGATTCTTCAGTCAAGTATGAAGGGTACTCTTTGAATGAGAATCTACTCACTGGACCAAACCAAACCAACAGTTTATTGGGAGTACTTTTAAGATTTCGGAAAGACAGAATCGCAGTCACAGCAGATATCCAACAGATGTTTTACTCCTTTCTAGTAAATGAAGAACACAGAGACTTCCTACGATTCTTCTGGTACAGAGATAATGACCCGAAGAAAGAGATAATTGAATACCGAATGAGAGTCCATGTATTTGGGAACACTCCGTCACCTGCCGTAGCCACTTACGGCCTTAGGAAAGCAGTGGAACATGCTGATGAAGATGTGAAACATTTTGTCACCAAGAACTTTTATGTAGATGATGCCCTCATCACAGGATCAGACTCGGAAAGCCTCACAGACCTAGTGAAAAGAACCCAGAAGGTTTTGTGGGAAAATGGAAGAATCCGGTTACATAAAATCGCTTCCAATTCTCCAGACGTAGTGAATGCCTTCCCAACAGAAGACCGAGAGAAAACACTCATGAATCTTGACCTATTTACAGAAGAGCTTCCTACTCAAGCATCTCTTGGAATTTCATGGAATATGGATAAGGATTGTTTTGGTTTCAGCCTTTTCATTCCTGAGAGACCATTTACCAAACGTGGGATTCTATCAACCATCAACAGTATTTTTGATCCTCTTGGCTTCCTATCTCCAGTGACAGTTACCGGGAAAATGCTAGCAAGAGAGATGCATGTCGAAGCTGTTGGATGGGATGACCCTTTGCCAGAACACCTTTGTCACCAGTGGGAATCTTGGAAAAGTTCACTTTTCTCCTTGAGAGAATTCCGTGTTCCAAGGATGATTACTGCAGTGGATTTCAGTTTAGCAGATTCCCTGGAGGTATGGATATTCTCAGATGCCTCCGAACGTGCCATATCAGCAGTTGCCTACTTGAAAGCTCGTAGTGATACCTCCACAGAAGTAGGTTTTATCATGGGAAAGTCCAAACTATCACCACCAGGTGGTGTGACCATACCACGTTTAGAACTTTGTGCAGCTGTCTTAGCAACAGAGCTTGCAGATACAATATCTGAACACCTTGACCTTCCGATGGAAACATTCAAGTATTGCACAGATAGTAGAGTCGTTCTCGGTTATCTCTATAACCGAACCAGACGGTTCTACACATATGTCAGCAACCGTGTAGCTACAATATTGAAACGGTCCAAGGCGTCTCAGTGGCAGTATATCCCCTCAGAGAAAAACCCAGCCGATTGCGGCACAAGATGCAATACCCCAGTTCAGGATTTTTCAAGTAGTAAGTGGATTACAGGGCCAGATTTCTTGAAAGATGTTGTCACAGCAACAGTTGGTGAAAACTGTAACTTTGACCTAGTTGACGAAGATGCAGATTGTGAAATACGTCCAACAATCAATGTGAAGGCTACAGTATTGTTAAGAAGCATTGCTGCTAGGTTTGAAAAGTTTTCAACATGGAAATCTCTTGTCAGGGCAATTTCTCTCTTGAAGAGGTTTTGCAGAGCCTGGAAGGAAAAGAAGCAAATGTCTCCTAAAGACCCTAGTGATACCGAAGCTACGGAGATGTTCCTAATAAAGAAAGCACAGGAAGATGCCTTCAAAGAAGAAATTAGCATGGTGGAAAAGAAAGCCGGTGTACCTGCAGACAGCAAATTGACAACACTATCACCAGTACTAGATGACCAACACATTCTGCGTGTTGGAGGACGCCTGAGCAATGCGCCTTTGGAGAAAGGTCAAAAGCATCCGATTATTATCCCGAAGAAATCTCACATAGCAAACTTACTTGTGAATCACTACCATTCAATTTCTCATCACCAAGGAAGACATGTGACAGAGTCAGCACTTCGCTCCAAGGGATTTTGGATAATTGGAGCAAAAAGACTAATTTCTTCAATCTTGTACAAGTG